TGATTACCAGCCATAGGAACAGCCCAATATACAAATTGCAAATTGCTGAGAACAAAATCAAGCAAGTACAACAATTTAAATATCTAAGAAGTGTTTTAAGAAAGGATCGAAAATCTGACACTGGAATTCAAAGGTGCATTAGTGTTATGGTCCAAGGTTAGAATCAAGGAAGAACAACAGGAACACAAGAGTAGAATAACAAAGATATATTACAACAGAAATATAGTACAAGAAGTTGAAGGTGTTAGTAATGACTGTCCATCTGGTTTCGAGTGAACTAATATTGTCTTGACTTGTTACACCATTCATTCATTATACCTCTTGAGAGGAGCAGTATTTATAGTGTCAGGAAGAGTCCATTATCGTTATAGGTAAGTTCTTATAACAATTAGGATATTGAAAGATACCTTCCAAAAGCTAAGCAAAGTATTAAAAAAAGAGAAATTCTGTTAGAAACAAAGAAAAGAACTGAGCCAAACTGTTACGTGATATGATTTCCTAAAATATAGCAGTGAATATATGACAATATGCACATAGAGGAAGAACAGATTTTAACAACAGAAATGGAAGAATTAAGAAGGATACTGAGATTACCTATGCAAATATGTGCAATGATTTAGAGAAAATGGAAACAAAAAGGATGCTTATACTTAACATCAGAAAAAGAGATTATTGAAATCTCTAAGGCACATAAGGAAAGAGGGCTTAGAAAATTTGATACTCACAAGACATTGAAGAAAAGAAGGATAGAAAAAGCAATGCGTAACCTACTTAGTGAGCTTTAGTAAATGGATGGCAAGAAAATAACAAAAAAAACTCTATTAAGAACTACAAAAGGCAGGAAATCGTGGAGAGCTATGAATGCCAATGTAGCACATAGAAGAAGAAGGAATTTTTAATTCCTGGGTTGGTTGATATTAATTTCACTGTTTAAAATCACAGGGATGCTAGCTTAAACACTTGTATCTACTAAAAATAATGTTTGTAATAATAAAAAAATGTCAGATTAAAAATTAAGATTACTATCTCATTACTTCAGCCTTGTGTCAGACTAGGCTAAGTAAATGATCATATGGATGACAACCATAGTGCAATGGTTAGCATGCTCATCTGAAAGTCCTATTATTGCCTGACTACAATGTCTTTGTACCAAACAAAGATGAACTCATATCAAACTATTATGTTAGGTCACTGGACAAATGCTATAGTTACTATGTAAAACACTACTATCTGTGGCATGATTGAGTCATTGGTGACTAAACTGATTCCCCCAAGAGCCACTGTTAAAATAATTATTATGAATCTGTTTGATATGATTAAGTGAGAAAGTGAAGATTATGAGAAGAAGGAAGGGAAATTTTGCATGTCAAAGGTTTTGGGGTTTATTTAATTTAGAATCTTTGTATGGGCAACCAGTGTAGATTGAAGACACTACTCAGTAATTAAAGTCAACCAGACTAAGCTAAACAACCATTACATTATGTTGAGATGCCTGAAAATACTTTTATGATGAAAATGTATTGCAAGTGATTTCACTATGAAAATGCATTAGAAGTGGTTTCACTATGAAAATGTATTAGGAGTGATTTTACTATGAAAATGTCTCACAAATGATTTTACTATGAAAATGCATTTCTAATGATTTTACTATGAAAATGCATTTCTAATGATTTTACTATGAAAATGCATTAGAAGTGATTTTACAATGAAAATGCATTAGAAGTGATTTTACAATGAAAATGCATTAGAAGTGATTTTACAATGAAAATGCATTAGAAGTGATTTTACTATGAAAATGCATTAGAAGTGATTTTACTATGAAAATGCATTAAAGTTTGAAAAATGCTTTTTTTTACTATGAAAATGCATTAGAAGTGCCATTTACTGAAAATGCATTGATTTACTATGAAAATGCATTAGAAGTGATTTTACTATGAAAATGCATTAGAAGTGATTTTACTATGAAAATGCATTAGAAGTGATTTTACTATGAAAATGCATTAGAAGTGATTTTACTATGAAAATGTATCGCAAATGATTTTACTATGAAAATGCATTAGAAGTGATTTTACTATGAAAATATATTGCAAATGTTTTTACTATGAAAATGCATTAGAAGTGATTTTACTATGAAAATATATTATGAATATATTTTATTGTGATGATGCATTGCAAGTGATTTAATTTATGTTGGTTAACTTTATAATATGCCAACCATTGTTGGGTCATTTAATATTAAATTTTGTATGGGGCACCCAGTGAGGATCAAACTTATCAATAATAATGACCAACCAGACTATCTTAACTAATAATTGTTTTTAAAGGCTTTTACTATTTTGGGACTAAGAGTAAAACAAAAATGAAAATTGGAATTTGGAGGAAGACAAATTTTCCCATTGGGCTACAGTAGGTGCCCTTATAATTACTTTGTCTGTGCCCAAAGTATTCATCCTACACTTTATCGGTTGGCACTGGAAATAAACATACTTCTAAGCATGCATTTGCCTGAGAGCAACAAGTTAGAAGTAGAAACGTGTTAAGTGACTGATTAAATAAAAAAAAAGAGTCAAGCCACAGGTTGTAAACAGATCGAGAAGAGAAAAAGTAGCTTCATTAAATAAAAATCATGTATGAAATGTCAGTCAAATGATTCAGAACAGAGAATGGAATAAAATTGAAATTGCTTGTAGGGTTTTGATATTGTAGCATCTCAAGTGAAGGTATTCATCTGTAGTACAAGAGGACACACGACATAAGTGTAGCTATATACAGATAAACCTTTCTAAAACATAAACTATGATCTGGAATTAGAAAGAAAGCAGTGATGGTACATACCCTGAATCCATCATAAACATTCAAGATGTGGAATTAATAAAATACCTCAGCATATGGATCAGTTATAACAAATTTAGTATAGGAGATAAATTGAATATAGATTACGCTGTGCTAGGGGTAGTTTCACACAATACTACAAATTACTACAAAACCAAAATATTAACCTAAAAACTTAAATAGCCTCGTCAGAAGGAAACTTTCATATGGATGTTATACAAACTGTCAAACTTGTTAAGAAATATCTAAACCAATGATTTCTAATATAGGGCACATGTCCCATCCATGGGACATGGAAATATTTTGGTGGGGCATGTGTAGAATGTGCATCCTTTGGCTTACTATTCCAACACAATAAGGGGGCAATTGAGAATGACTTATTAACAGTGAATTGTTTTCTCGTGAGTCTGAGTGAGAGTGTTAATGTTAATGTGGATACATACGTTATGCATATACAGTATGCATAAATAAAAATATTTATTTATATATATATATATATATATATATATATATATATAAATATATATAACCTAGACATATCAGAATTAAATATTACAGGGGGGGCACCAGAATTTTAGAAATACCAAAGTGGGACATGGCCCAAAAAATCGGTTGGATGAAAACATTGATCTGTTAGTTGTATACAACCACTTTCTCAGTCATGTCCGTAAAAAATGGCTTTTGACAAATGTTCATGTAGGTCTTTAGTGAGTAAAAATCCTTCTGTGAAGTATTTTGTAGAATCACAAACAATGAACTGTAGCAAATAGTAGAAACCACATTGATTGGAAGCCATTCAATGGTAGTAACGATTAAAATGGTTAGTTCACCACATGTAACTCAAAGGAAAATAATGACATAATCAAGATGCTGACATTAGGAAGGAAGCATCTAATCAATACTGGAAAGAGTGATAACAGTGGACTTAAGAAACCTTTTTTTATGGAGATTTATTTTAATAGAAAGCTTTTATATATTTTAATCAAAAGTAACACTGGCTGCTCTGTCAATGAATACCAAATTTTTCCATATAAGGAAATGGCTAATATTACCATTCCATTGCAGACTGGCACTACAGAATCACAAAGAACTGTACCAAATAACAGAAACCACATCACTTGAGGACTTTCAACAGTAGCAACAAGTTAAATGGATATCACATATAACTCAAAGATAAAATATTAAAATAATCAAGATGTTGACATTCCACACTACTTCAAATAAAAGATTAGGAAGGTAAGAACTGTCATTAGTGGAAAGAGTGATAACAGCTACTGGACTTGAAAAATCTATTTTCCTGACAAAATTGTTTTAAGGGAAAGATTTTATAAATCTTATCTACAGTACTAGCTCCTCGGTCAATGAATACCAAATGTTTCCTTGTAGGGAAATGGCTAATATTATCATTACCATTAGTTTTTTGAAGCATCTTTTGCTATTTCAATGTACCTTTGGATTTTGGTGTCGAGTTATGCTTTTCTATGTTCAAAGAACAAAGATCTTTGCCAAAACCCTTAAGAAAAGTATTAATAAACAGGAAAATTTCATTAGAAGCAAAGAAAAGAGCACTGAACTCTTATGTAATATCAGTCCTCCTATATGGCTGTAAATGCTGGACAATCTCATCACAGATGAAGGAAAAGCTTTAGGCAACAGAAATGGGGATCTACAGAAGGATGCTGAGAATACCATGAACGGAACATGTGGACAACAAAGTTTTTTGAGAAAACAGAAATAAAATGGCCACTCATACATAACATCACAAAGAGATGGTTGAAATTTCTAGAGCACACAATAAGGAAAGAAGGCTTGGAAAATTTGATACTCATAGGACAGATTGAGGGCAAGTGATATAGAGGAAAACAATACCTAACCTACCTAGTGAGCTTGTGTAAATGGATAGCAGAAGAAGGTTTAGGAGAAATAACAAAAAAGGCAAAATTTACTAAAGAGCTACAAATGACAGCCAGCTGCAGAGATTCATGATCACCAATGTCATGAGGTGGTGGGGTGGTGAAGGAGGAGGAGAAGAAGAAGAACAAGAGGAGGAAGAGGTGATGAAGGAACTGGATGCTTAATCAATGAATACCAAATGTTTCTGGATAATGAAACAAGCTAATATTACCATCAGATGCAACATTTATGTTTGTGAAAACCACAGGTAATCATTAACATTCACCATGACACTTGAGAGCGACAACAACAACAACTGCATTGTATTTATGAGTTGATGCTGAGTAGTAACAGTAATGGCATCTGTTGGTGATGGTCGAATTCTGAAACTGTGAGGTGTTGGAAATTTAGATTTCTGGACGTCTGTTTTTATCTCTGAAAGTTGAGCAAAAAACAAGTTGCTGTTGATGATGAAAGAAAGTTTAATTTTTGCTATTGTTTTTGGTATCTACTTGAATTGTAACTTGTGTGGGCGAAAACGTGTGGGCAGGGATGACTTCTGCAGTTGGTAAGGATAAATCATTGTGGCTCTTTGACACGAACATATCAATCATACTTCTAAGTACTCTGTCACAGATCTGAGCACTATATTGCAGTTTAATTAGGATAAACACACATATAAAAAAAAAGTCAAGTGGGAAGAATAAAGTAAATGCAGAATGTACAAATTTGAAATGCAAAACAAAAGAACAAATCCGAAAGAAAATGAGCAGAAGTGGGAGGAGGAGAGAAACAGAGAAGTTATGTGCAAAAGAGAGAGGAGGAGAAAAAAAGAAGGTATGGGCTAAAGAGAGAAAAGAAGAAAAAGAGAAGGTATGGGCTAAAGAGAGAGGAGAAGAAAAAGAGAAGGTATGGGCTAAAGAGAGAGGAGAAGAAAAAGAGAAGGTATGGGCTAAAGAGAGAGGAGAAGAAAAAGAGAAGGTATGGGCTAAAGAGAGAGGAGAAGAAAAAGAAGAGGTATAGGCTAAAAAGAGAGTAGTGAAAAGAGATGGTATGGGGTAAAGAGAGAGGAGGAGGAAAAGAGAAGGTATGAACAAAAGAGAGAGGAGAAAAAGAGATAGTATGGGGTAAAGATAGAGGAGGAGTAAAAGATGGTATGAATTAAAGAGAGAAGGCAAGAAAAAGAGAAGGTATAGGCTAAAGAGAGAGGAGAAGAAAAAAGAAAAGGTATGGTGAAAAAAAGGATAAGAAAGAATGTGTATGGGTGAGAGAGAGAGAGAGAGAGAGAGAGTAGGAGAAAAGAAAAGATATTCATTTAGTACTCAAAGCTTCTTCCTAAGAACTGCTACTTTGGGGAACAGACTCCTGAGAAGATGTTTCTTCAATCACTAAAATGTCCACCTCTTCAAGATGATATCCTCTACATTGAATGTCTCTTGTGCCTTGTATTGAGTGAACAGCAGTAAAATACAAACAAACTGATATATCCTCTAGTGTATATAAACAGGCCTGAGAACAATCAGCCCCTGTGAAATGAATAAGGGGTTCAAAATTGTAAGAATGTTACTGAATGCAATGCAACGGGAAGGCAACGTAGTACAAAGGCTGTAATGTTGAACATGAAGAATCAAAATGAGGCCAATCATTTGAATAGATAACACCTACAAGGCAGTTGAAACACCTATGTGATAAAAAAGAAATAAAGCAACTTTGATTAAAGTCTATGAACAAATAATGTTTTTTTTTTTATTTCAATTGTTTACAGACAAGAAAATTCATGTTTGGTCTCAATGAATATAAATGCTACCCAAATTTTTGGGATCTAGCAATTTTGGCCATGCATCAAGAACTATATTAATGAAGTCAGACTGCCGAAAACTGTGAAACTGGTTGTGAAAGGTGTTTTTGTTTATCTAACAGAAGCCATACCAGTTTCTAGTGAGAAACAAGATGGCCACCATTGTCTCTAAGCCAGGAATGATGGGTGTGTGTACATCTGGTTGCAAAAAAAAAAAAAGCCTTTTTGAAACTTTGAGGCATAATCATTGTTTAGTAAGAATAAATTATTATTATTATTGTTTTGATGGTTATTTCTTTGTTCAATGTCTTAGTTAATTGGCAGCTATGAGAAATGTGCATATTTAGATTGTTATTATGTGTTTCTGTCTGTTTAGGGCATGTTAAATGTTTAGCATTCAGTCAGGGCATAAACACGGGACACTGAGTCATTCCCCACACAGACTAAACAAACAATGGGGGCGATGCAGATTGCTCAGGTCCATTTGTGAGACAAGCAAACTAACCATTTGGATTGCTGGGGTGTAAATGGCACACTTGAGTTCAGCAAGCCGGTGGACAAAACTTCTTGAGAGTTAAATTTGACTTTGCATGAAGCAAGCTCATTGCTAAAATGGCTGCATTTGGTGTGGGCACATATGTGTGTGCTCACAGATCAGTGAAGGCTTTTGAAACTTAAGAGGGGGGTTACTAAGAGTAGCAGTGGCAGGTTTAGCAAACAGAAGTTGGACAGTGGATGCAGAAATCCTCACACTGGTAAAACTTTTAGCGAGGAGACACAGGAAGCTAAATCCAGTTGCTGCTCTGCTTTCTGGTCATCCTCTGCTAGGTTTCATTTTTTTGTTAGTTAAATAAAAGTTAATTATATGATTATTTCATTTGGTTCTATTTCTCTCTTTGTTTTTTTAACGTTATATTAAAGTTGTAAGTTAATTTTAAACAAAAAGATGTATAGAATCAGAAATTTTGTGCATATCTGAGGAAAGAGTGCTTGGAAAGACTGAGTTTATGACAACATCATATTGAAACACAGGTTTCCGTATGATCACTGCAGCACCTAGATGGTTGAATACCAGGTGCTTTATGCTTGGGTGTGAAGGTGGTGTAATGGATAATGGCTCTAAATTGTTAATCAGCAAGCAGAGTTCCAATTCCCATTGGGCTCATTATATTCACTTATGTTCAAAAACCCTTGGAAAAAATATGAATCCTCTTCTTCCCCCCCAGCTATGGGTTAATTAGTAAGATTTGTATCACTAAAACCATTAATATCTCCCCCCACAAAAATAAAATTGCATATAAATACTTAGATTTTGGCATTAAATACCCCATAGAGGTTGATATGCCACTAAACAAATACAACTAACTTGGAAAATTTGACATCCACAGGGCATACTGAAGGCAAGTGGGACAATGGTAACCTACCTGATGATGAGCTTGTGTAAATGGATAGCAAAACAGGGAGTGTGAGGGACAGTGAAAAGACAAATATTACTAAGATCTACAATAGATAGGAAGTTGTGAAGAGCCATTATCGACTATATCACATAAGAGAAGACATGATGGACTAAACCACATAAAAATGAACTTGATAGTTCTTGTGATTATTTGTAGCTATTGTATAGTTAACTTTTTAATGAACAACACTATACAATAGCTACAAATAATCACACTCAAATTTAGAATTATTTTTAATCAATAGTCTCTAGAATAATTTAAAACCACCTAACCAGTAACCATTAGGATAATACAATAGAGGTTGCTAAACATAATGCCCAGCAACACACAATACACATGGCCTGAAGATTGCATTCAAGCATAAAACAGACTATTGTCACTTGGTGTTCACCTTAGTATATATATATATATATATATATATATATATATATATATATATACACACACACACACGTACAAAAGGTCTGATCAAAAAGTATTGAGACTGTTGCTATGATAACAAAGCTAAAGTATGCAGAGTGAAGCGGTCTTGAACTCTGTTGCACATGCACACTAAGTTATAACATTCTTGTTTGCTTCTATTGTTTATAGCAGTGCTTGGAAGGTAAGTGTGCAGAATGTGGTCATCTCACCACACCACAGAGATTCCATTAGTGACCATGGCTTGTGCAGCAGTTTTTGGCTAAGTACAACATTCCCCAGGTACAATAACCACCATATTCCCCAGATTTCACCCCCTGCAACTTTTTTCTTTTCAAAAATCAAGTCTCAATTGAAAGGATCAAGATTTCAAGGAAATCCAGGAAATGTGATGAGGCAGCCGCTTGCTATCACAAAAATGGAGACCCAGGAATGCTTCCATCAATGAAAATGCTGCTAGATAAAGTGTGGAGCTCCAGAAGGGGGCTACTTCAAAGGAGATTAAATGCTAAATTGATATGTGTTGTAGTTTTTATTTCAATTAATGAGATCGAAACAATTTACCTCATACAGATGATCATTTTGTCCATGGGAAAATAGTTTTTCCCTGGACTTATCAATGCAAATACATTTACTAAAATGAATAAAATCCCACATTTCTTCACAGGAAATTTTAAAAAAATTTTTGTTCATTCTTTTTCCTTGCACAAGTGTTGATAAGTTACATTTATATCAGTGTCCATTTTCAACCATTGTGTTTATCTGTACCTGACTCCCCCACAACCACCTTAGGTCCTTTACACCTCTATATCTATATAACTCCCTCTTCTATTATAGGCCAATTCTTACTCCCTCTCCTTTTATTCTTTCCTTTTTCTTTCTTTCTTTCCTTTGTCTTTCAAATTTCCTGTGAAGAAATGTGGGGTTTTATTCATTTTAGTAAATGTATTTGCATTGATAAGTCCAGGGAAAGACTACTTTCCCATAGATGAAATGATCATCTGCATGAGGTAAAATGTTTGGATTTCATTAATTGTAATTCACTTATATGCTTGATAATAAAAATTATATTGAGCTCTCTTTTGTGAATCAGTTTTAATATTTTATATTAATAGGACCTACTTAGATTACTTACCCACAGATTTTTTTTACCTATATATAATTTAAAGAAAAACAGGACACTTCAAGATTCCATTGTTATAATTTATTTTACCAGAGATTTTCTTTTCTCTGGATCATCAGACCTCACTTCCAAGGATGAAAAAATGAATTCCTTTAATTAATATATATATATATATATATATATATATATATATATATATATATATATATGGTTTGGATGTATAATGCTTAGAGGCACAAGAAGTCTGCAAGCTGAGTTTTGTTACATCCACTTTTGCATAAATACCCTTGGGAAATGTATGAATCCTTCTCTCCCCACTTCAGATTTAGGTCAAATAGCAAGGGGAAATGGGCTCTTTAGCCTTGGTTGGCAACCAATCTAGGAGAAGGACAACTCTGAATTCATAAATGTGAGGAAGGATGTTTAGTGATTTTGTTGCATGCTGTGCACCTCTTCTCTGTATCAGTTCTTCTGAAAAATGTGTCTGGTTCTGATCAAGATTTTACCACTATAATCAAATCAACTGGACTGTTCACTTCTTGGAACTGAACTATTAGGCCCTTATATGTTGCAATTGATGGTAGAGTCCTGACATGCATGCAGAAAGAAATAGAGTGCAGAGGTGAAATGGATTTCTCTCTCCCGAAGGGATTAGGAAATATGCAAGATTTATTGCGAATTCTGAAATAATGAGATTGTAATATAGAGCGCCTCTCTGGAAATTATAGAATTTGAATTATGTTGGCAGCCATGTTCTTAAGTAGCCTTGTCAGATTGAGACTTTAATATGGATGCCAAACTCGCACAGAAAATATCTAAACTGTCAGCTGTATACAAATGTTTTCTCAGATCAATCATGAATAAAGCCTGGAGGTCTTAGCAAGGACCATCCTTCTTTGAATCTTGGTAACAAGTGCTATTGAATCACAAAGAACTCTACCACATCCATTGATGACTTCCAAAAGCAGCAATGACTAAAATGGTGAGCACATGTAATTGGATAGAAAATAATGACATAATCAAGATGCTGACATTTATACTACTTTAAACAAAAGGTTAAGAAGGAAACCCCCTCCTCTCATCAACACTGCAAAGAGTGATAACTGTTCATGGACTTGAAAAAGGTATTTTCCTGAGAAAATTGTTTTAATACAAAACTTTTATCAATTTCAACCAAAAGTAGCACTGGCTCCTTTGTCAATAAATGTTGAATGACAAGTAAACGGTTAATATTACCATTAGAGATGAGGAGAACAGATACTACACTTTGATCCTAGTCTAGTGACTAGAGAGGAAAGAAAAGCATAACTCAATAATAATGGATTCTCAGACAATGAATGCCAAATAGTTTCATATAGGGAAACAACTTATATTACCATTCAGTCAGTCAGTTATGTGCCATGCATGATACACGCTTAGGTAAACATGTATCTTTTGATACATGACTGACGAGGTAGATTTTTTCCCGCTGTAGGCTGCCATTTCTTTTTGCAGTAGACCAGTTGCCATCCATGGCTATAGAACCTGGTCTGTCCTGCTATTTACCCATAGCTAGGTTGAAAAGAAGAGGATTTATACCTTTCCCAAGAGTATTAGCATGTAAGTGAATGCAATGGATTCAACTGGAATTTGAACTCAGCTCTCCGATTCTTCAATCCAAGCCATTAGTCCACCATACCTCCTATTACCATTAAGATACTGATTTGTGTACAATGAAATTTAATGACCACTGAATTTGGTATACACCAGAAGGCTGGAAAAGATTTCTGCTAAAATAGTGAAATAAAAACAACAAAATGAAGATACTAGTCTGAATAATGTATATGACAACATCTAATGACCACTGGA